CACTTCCTCTTTCTCTCACTCTCACCCTCTGTCTCTCTCTGGTCAAATTAAAAACTAAGTGAATGCGTAAATAAAATTAAATTAAAAAAAAATTTCTTGGGCCAGCCAGGCACATCGTGGTTAAGGTGGCTGGATCCCACATGGCCAGCTTTGTGGTTCAGATCCTGGACCTGGTGGATTGAGAAACACACAGGGCACGTTTGTAGGCAAAGATTCTGAAAGGAGGGAGAGATGGAGGAGAAGGGATTGCAGCATGACTGTCCCCTTGTGGGGGTTGGGGGTGCGCGCGCTCTCTCTCTCTCTCTCTCTCTCTCTCTGTCTCTGGTGGGTGAATGGGTGTGCCCTCTAGCAAAAATGAAAAAAAAAATTTTTTTTTCTTAGTAAACAGTGTCACCAAACTGTCAGTACTTTTCCCCAAAATATCAGGCAGCCAGTGCTCTTATTTCATGGCATAGATCAAGTACTTTTCAGTAACAGTTGAGTTTTCAGCAGTGAAAACTTGAATGTTGCTTCAAATCTTAGCACTCTACAAATTCAGGTTACCATGGTCCTTATCTTTGAGAAGCTCAATCCTAAGGTGGTGGTGATATGAAGGGTGGGAGTAAGGGCAAGTGAAGTAGGAGTTATAAGAGCCTCTGTTCAGGGTTCCTCTGTTAGCTGCAAGGGAAAACTTCAAGGGAATTGCTGCCCTGATAGTAAGAAAGTGGTTTGGGGCTGGCTCTGTAGCATAGCGGATAAGATAACCAGATCCCACATGGCCAACCTATGGTTTGAATCCTGAGCCCAGTGTCTTGAAAAACATGCTAGACTCCTGCACATGCATGCCCAAAGTCTCAAAAGGAGAGAAAGATGGAGATGGGACTGCAAGACGATTATTCCCAAGGGGGATGCTTTCTCCTTTTCTTGTCTCTGGTGAGTACACACCCTCTAGCCACAACAGCAACAAAACAGTATTAGTAGAAAAGAGCCGTGTAGCTGGGGGTACAGCTTGGAGGTAGAGGTGAGAAGTCCATAAACGTTAGACAGATCAGGGTGTTGAAGTAGAAGGAAAGTATTTAGGCTAAGTTGAACTGTGACCTAAAATATAAGACTATCCGAGACAGGGGCAGGCCAGGGAACACTTGAGTCTTCCACAGGAGATTTAGCAGGACTGGGGGAAGAAGGGGCCAAAAAGAATGCGGGAATATAGAGAAGTTATTCTTGGGACCAGACCTGGTATACCTTAGGAAAAGGAAGGATTTTTCTCTCTAACCCATACCTCATCTCAGATGCAGGGGAAGATTAGACCAGCATTCCTTTTTTTTTTTTTCTTTTTTTTGAGAGGTTTTCACTATAGGGCGCGTGTGCTCGCCAGGCAGACAGAGACAGACAGAGAGACAGAAAGCGAGAAATCACCCCCCAGGGGGGATGGTCACGCCACAATCCCTTCTCCTCCATTCTCCTCTCGGGATTTTGGGCACACATGCACACGTGCCCAGCATGAGTTCTAAGCCACCGAGCCTGGGACGCGAACTGCGGTCGACTATGTGGGAATCCAGCGACATAGCCATTACGCTAACTGCTGGTTCCCAAGACCAGCATTCTTTAAAAAATGTATATGTAATGAGTAGTGTGTTAAATTACCTCCACTCTCTTGTTCCTCAGATTGGAATGCCTTTTCAGCCCATTTCTATATTTACATATTATATCTTGCCTTTTTTAACCTGTCATCTTCTATGTTTTGTTTCCCAGAGAGAGAGAGGGAGAAAAACTGCCCCAAATGGGGCATGGTCACAGGGCACACGCACACGTGTGCACACACACACACACCAGGGAGTTTTTCAAGCTTTGGGACTGAGATTCCAACTGTAGGCAGCCCTGTTGGGATCTGGATCCCTGTACAGTACTTAAATACTGCATCACGGGCCTGGCCCTGGATTGTTTTCATTTATGTGTAAATCACATCTGCCATTCCTCTGTCAAAAGCTGTTCTAAGACTTCTCGCAGGAACAAATTCTAACCTTGACCATGATCTGTGTACACATGTGAGTATGAGCTGGCTCTGAGCTGGCTCTTCAGTCTACTCCAGTCTTCCTCCTGTTCACTATTCTCCAGCTACATTGGCCAAAGGAATTGGGAATTGAACTTTTTAAGGACGTTCCCATTTGATATGGAGTCGGCCTCATGGGTGACTAGACTGTTACTGGTGTGTGGATTGTTAGATTGGGATAGCATTCTTTTTTCTAGCACCTTCCTTGCTCAGATACCTAACGTACTTCTGGGGTGATTTAGGGCAGTGGCTTTCAGACTTTGTTTTGTGCTCCATGTTTAGAAATAAATTTGGGACCAGCAGATGATGTAGTGGTTACGTTGCTGGACTTTGACATAGTTGACCACGGTTCAAGTCCGGCTTAAAACTCGCGCTGGCGCTTGTGCATGCGTGCCCAAGATCCTGAGAGGAGAATGGAGGAGAAGGGATTGCGGTGTGGCCATACCCCCTGGGGGGGGATTTCTCGCTTTCTATCTCTCTGTCAAGCACACACACCCTGTAGTTTCGAAATAATATTTACTCTATATTGTTTCACACACAAAGTTATAAACACTAAAACTAGGTCCAGTTCATGAGCTCATCTCTGAATGCTCAGGCTTGTGTGCACAGAGAAAGAACCCTGGTTTGCTAAGCGAGGAGTTAACTGTTAATGGCACAGGAGCAAACAAAGGTACCTATACAGACTTTTTAATTTTTTTTAGAGGTTTTTTTGTACTCGCCAGACAGACACAGACAGAAAGCGAGAAATCACCCCCCGGGGGGATGGCCACGCTACAATCCCTTCTCCATTCTCTTCTCGGGATCTTGGGCATGCACGCACACGCGCCCGGCCTGAGTTTTAAGCCACTGGGTCTGGGACGTGAACCATGGTTGACTAGGTAGGAATCCAGTGACATAGCCATTACGCTAACTGCTGGTCCCGCTATACAGACATTTTAACCAAGCACTATTCCTGGCTTTCCATGCTACTTAAACAGGCCGGCAAATGTAGCCCTTACAGTAGTAGAGACGGTTGTGGGGGTCTGCTCTGGTTGGAAATGAGTCACATGGAAGCTTTGTGGAGCCAACCTGAGCAGTGGAACATTGCTGTACGAATTAGACTTTTTGTGAGGCAGGACAGAAATGCCGTTTATTTGTCTGCCTCTTTTCCTACACTCCAGCTGAGTGTCACGGGTGAGGCTCTCTGCCTGCCTGCCTGGGCATGTCCAGGACAACACCTCAAGCTGTTGGCACCTCACGTTTTGTATCGTGCCCCATCTGCTTGTCTAGATTGAGTTGTAACACAGACAAGTGGATACTTCGCTGGGGGCGGTAAACACTGAGCAGAGCCTGCTTCCTCCTCCTGTGCTGTGACCTGATTCCTCAACATAGGGAATAAGGTCAGAAGTTGAAAAGGCCATACTCACTCAGCTGTGCACTGGAGAACATGTGATTTGTTCTTTCAGACTAGATAAATATTTCTCCTATCATTTTCCTGTCTCGCACACCTACAGGTATGCTGGAATCTTGGCGCTGTCTGGAGGTAGAGGCTGGAATGGATGTGGTGGACACTGAGGACATATGGTTTAAAAAGACAGCCAAATAATTCTGTTATGAGACAGGAACATTCTCTTTTACTGCCCTAGGTCTACTGTAATGGACGATTATTAAATAAACTATCAATTGCTCTTTTCTAGCCCACACCAGTTATCCTGTTGAAGGAGGGAACTGATAGCTCCCAGGGCATTCCCCAACTTGTGAGTAATATCAGTGCCTGCCAGGTGATTGCTGAGGCTGTAAGGACCACCCTCGGTCCCCGTGGCATGGACAAGCTGATTGTGGATGGCCGAGGTAAGTCTTCAGGGTTCGTCAGGCTTCTGGGGAAACGATTCTAGTACAGTTGGCATAAAAAATTTACCCCTAGCTTCAGCACTTCTTTTCAGATCTATGAGGAGGGTTGCTCATTCTGAAGTCGTTCTATTTCGTACATTGTCCCTTTTGGGAAAATATGGGAGAACCTGGGCTCAGGAATCTGTAGCCCTATAGAGAGGTCTACCCTAGAAACATAAAATAGAGGAGTTGGCAGGTAGTGTGATGGCTAAGGGTGCTGGACTCCCACATGGCCAACTGTGGTTCAAGTCCCAGAACTGACGGTATGCATTCTCACTTTCCCTCTTTCTCTCTCTCTTTCTCACTCTGTTCCTCTCTGGTCAAATTAAAATAAATAAAGTTAAATAAGCTCTCTGCCTGCCTGCCTGGGCATGTCCAGGACAACACCTCAAGCTGTTGGCACCTCAGGTTTTGTATCGTGCCCCATCTGCTTGTCTAGATTGAGTTGTAACACAGACAAGTGGATACTTCGCTGGGGGCGGTAAACACTGAGCAGAGCCTGCTTCCTCCTCCTGTGCTGTGACCTGATTCCTCAACATAGGGAATAAGGTCAGAAGTTGAAAAGGCCATACTCACTCAGCTGTGCACTGGAGAACATGTGATTTGTTCTTTCAGACTAGATAAATATTTCTCCTATCATTTTCCTGTCTCGCACACCTACAGGTATGCTGGAATCTTGGCGCTGTCTGGAGGTAGAGGCTGGAATGGATGTGGTGGACACTGAGGACATATGGTTTAAAAAGACAGCCAAATAATTCTGTTATGAGACAGGAACATTCTCTTTTACTGCCCTAGGTCTACTGTAATGGACGATTATTAAATAAACTATCAATTGCTCTTTTCTAGCCCACACCAGTTATCCTGTTGAAGGAGGGAACTGATAGCTCCCAGGGCATTCCCCAACTTGTGAGTAATATCAGTGCCTGCCAGGTGATTGCTGAGGCTGTAAGGACCACCCTCGGTCCCCGTGGCATGGACAAGCTGATTGTGGATGGCCGAGGTAAGTCTTCAGGGTTCGTCAGGCTTCTGGGGAAACGATTCTAGTACAGTTGGCATAAAAAATTTACCCCTAGCTTCAGCACTTCTTTTCAGATCTATGAGGAGGGTTGCTCATTCTGAAGTCGTTCTATTTCGTACATTGTCCCTTTTGGGAAAATATGGGAGAACCTGGGCTCAGGAATCTGTAGCCCTATAGAGAGGTCTACCCTAGAAACATAAAATAGAGGAGTTGGCAGGTAGTGTGATGGCTAAGGGTGCTGGACTCCCACATGGCCAACTGTGGTTCAAGTCCCAGAACTGACGGTATGCATTCTCACTTTCCCTCTTTCTCTCTTTCTCACTCTGTTCCTCTCTGGTCAAATTAAAATAAATAAAGTTAAATAATTCTTAAAAGAAAAGAAACATGAAATAGAGCCACCTGGAATGGCCTCTGGTCACTCCCATTGTATCACGTCAAGACGGGGAAAATTCTCCTTTGTGCTTCCATATATTAATAGATAAGTGTGAGACAAAGATATCAACTGTGTTAATATCTAAGTGATTACTCTTTTCATTTAAAAAATGTTTTCTGCATCCGTTTGAGCTGTACTAATTTTGCTCTTCAAAGACTGGAGCCTGTGATCTTTAAAAGCTTGTGGTTTTCGACTGCTCTGAACAGAGCTAACTCTGCATAAGAAGATGAGATTGGTATCTTTCCTTTTCAGTCCTGTTGTGATCCCCTTTTCCCATCCCAGTAAAACATACGTGGACTCCTGGTCCAAAGCAAAGATGGAATTTCAGAAAGGGGCTTTTAAATTTTTTGTTTCTTTTAAGGCAAAGCAACTATTTCTAATGATGGGGCCACAATTCTGAAACTCCTTGATGTCGTCCATCCTGCGGCGAAGACTTTAGTGGACATTGCCAAATCCCAAGATGCTGAGGTAGGATAATAAATTATATGTGTCTAAGTGGAGATTGAAATATCGTTATCCCTTCGATCTCTTCTCTCAAAACATCTTTAAAAATGTATGTCTAAAATGATAATTGTACAAATAATATATATCTCTAAGACATTTAGAATTAATCGTCTTTTAAAATTTACACTATTCATTACATACAGCTTTTCATATCAGCACATTGGTGATTGCCATATCTTTAGATCTAAGTCTGCTGCCCAAGAACTTAGAGCTGGGCCCATGTGCATTATTCAAGTGAGGTTCTAGGTAAATAATGGACCCTCTCAGTCTGTTGATCACCTTAAGTCCCTAGTCTGCCTTTTCACTTTTTTAAAAATGGTGATAAAATACATATAACGTTTGTCCTTTTTTAAAAATTTTTTGCCGTAAGACATGTGTGCTTGCCAGAGACAGGTGGTGGGGGCGGGGTAAGGGTGGTGGTGAGAAGATGGCTATGCTGCAGTTCTTCTCCGTTCTCCTCTCTGGATTTTGGGACACATATACACGCCTGGTGAGAATTTTTCTTTGTTTTTATTTTTTAGGTTTTTGTCATAGGGTGCATGTGTTTGCCAGAGAGAGGGAAAGTGAGAAACCACCCCGCAGGGGAGATGGCAGCAGTACAACCCCTTCTCTGGGATTTTTGGGCACATGTGCATATGCATTCAGCTTGATTTTCAAGCCACCAGGTCTGAGACTTGAACCGTGCAGTTGGCTGTGTGAGATCCAGTCACTTTAACTACCACCCCACCAGCTGGCTCCAAGTGTATCCTTTTAACAGTGTTTAAGTGCCATTCAGGGACATTCACCTGTCTGTCTGTCCTTTTTGTTTTAATTATTCCTTGAATGAGGGAGATGGAGAGAGACACAGATAGAGCACCCAGATCGGGTCTCAGCACCGCAGTTTACTCTCGCTCCCCCAGCTTCAGCCGGCCCATCCCACAGGCATACACATGCCCAACAGGGGTCTCAGAGATCTCTGGGCATGAACTGGCAGCCTCTTCCATGTGACAGGTCTGCCTCACAGTGTCTGTCACATTTTGCTCCTGTGCCGCCGTCCAACTCCAGTCTGTCTAATTTTTAACACTGGAGTCACAGAAATGAGAGAGAAACCCAGACACAGTAGTACAAGTGGGAGGGCACCACTGCACGGTGGCCGCGGTCTCATGGGAGGCCCAGGTTTGGATCCCAGCCTAGCCTGAATGGGCCAGGCACGTGGCATGCACCTATAGTCCCAATTAACTGGTAGGCAGGGACGTGAGGTTCATGACATGGTGAGATCCTATCAGAATACCTCTTTCTCCCACCCCCTCATGTTTATGCTCATTCACTCTCATGAGAAGAAAGGGGAGAAATGAGAGATTTGTATTATGTCCTGTAATTTTAATAAAACATTCATTAGTATCCAGTAGTTTATAAAACAGTATGACTTAGTCTGTATAATTTGTTACTATCTTCAACAAGGGAATATCTTTCCAGATATCTGGCTATCTGGCAGTTTAAACCCTCTTTCTGGCAGTTTAAACCTTCTTTCTTTTTCTTTTTCTCTCTTTTTTTTTTTTGGGGGGAGGGCCGGGAGGTTTTCACTATAGGGCGAGTGTGCTCGCCACACAGAGAGAGACAAAGTGAGAAATCACCCCCTAGGGAGATGGCCATGCTGCAGTCTCATCTCCTCCGTTCTCCTCTCGGAATCTTGGACAAGCACGCACACGCGCCCGGCATTAGTTTTAAGCCGCCAGGACGGGAATCGCAGTCAACTACATGAGAGTCCAGCGACATAGCCATTATGCTAACTGCTGGTCCCTTAAACCTTCTTTCTAATAACTTTTCCCCCCCCTTAATTCCTTACCTTATAGTGGAGATAAGTGGATTAAAAGTAAATTCCTTTCAAATTAGAGACTAGCTGGGTATTTTTTTCTGTTTTGTTTGTTTGAGAGAGAGAGAGACTTTTGCTATAGGGTAGGTACACTCGCTGGAGAGAGAGACGGAAGGTGAGAAATAACCTCTTCCCCCGGGGTGGGGGGGGATGGCCACGCTGCAATCCCTTCTCCATTCTCCTCTTGGGATTTCGGGCATGCATGCACACGCTCACAGCCCGAGTTTTTGTTTTGTTTTATGTTTTGTTGGTTTTTCTTCATAGCCTGAGATTTAAGCCACCGGGTCTAGGACTTGAACTGTGTTCAACTATGTGTGAGTTCAGCAATGTAACCATTTCGCTATCTGCTGGTCACCTTAGCTGATATTCTCAAAGCTCTTGTGCTTTTTCTCTCACGTTTAAAATAGGATTCAGATTCCATCACAGGATAGCACCATCTAAGACTAGCAGATCAGTAATCTGCTTATTGTAAAAAGTTGTTGAAATATAAAGAACTTTGACTGATCTTGGAAGATTTGTTTTAGTGTGATTTTGGCTAAAAATTGTCTTTTTTGTGAACTCCTGCAGTACTTTTTGCTTCTTGAAGGATGTTTATTTTATGCTTCCTGGTACTGCAATTATTGGTGACATTTAAGGATTGCATTAGAAAGCATAACAAGCACTGTCTACTCATCACAGTGCCTTATGTGTAATAAATAAGTCCTCAGTTAATTTGTATGTATATTCATTCCTGAGAGAATTCGGTTGTAGCCCAGGACCATTTGACAAGGCGGATACCTTACACCATTGTCTATTCTCTACCTGTTGCAAAAGCCTGTGCTTTGAGAAAAGGTCTCGATGCCCATTTAAATAGTACCAAGTTTCATGAAATTTTAGGACTGTATTACCTGAACATCAGAAAATCTATTTCTTGTCATTTTCTTCTAGGTTGGTGATGGCACCACCTCCGTGACGCTGCTGGCTGCAGAGTTCCTGAAGCAGGTGAAACCATATGTGGAGGAAGGTTTGCACCCCCAGATCATCATTCGAGCTTTCCGCACAGCCACTCAGTTGGTATGGGAGTACCACTAGCTCAGCCTTTGGCCTGCCCGTTTCTCCTAGTGAGGGTGATACCTTAACCCGATGGGAGGGCTGGGGAACAGGGTTCCTTGAGCGGTCTCTGACTCCTCCCTGCAGCTCTCAGTTCTGCCATTCAGTAGCTGTTTGATGAGCTGTATTGCTAAATCTCTTAATCCTCAGGGTACAGTCAGCCTGGTCGACTGTGATGTAGGCATATCACAGGCTCTGAGAAAGTGAGGGCTGGTTTTGTTTTTAGCAAGTGTCTTGTGGCCTCTCTTGAGACCTATTAAATGTAATGTATATTATTATGTACATTATAATGAATTTCTCTAGGCCTTTCTTTTTCTCTTTGCTATATCTCTATTTCAGGTGGTGACATTAAAATGAGGTTACAGGAATACTTTGTAAAAGATAAAAAGTCTAATATATGTGTATTAGTATGTATATTATATCTCACACACATAACTAATGTATAAAGTGCTAGAAATTGTCATAGGTGTTTTTAATAAGATTTGACCTAATCTAGTATCACGGCTTGTTTCTGCTCATTTATTTTAGGTGCTCTGCAGATCCAGAGCTAAATCCTAGAAACACCATGATGATTATTCAGAACTATAAATCTGCTTTATATATCTAACTTTGGGAGTTTTCTAAACTATAAAGTTTGGGGCCAGACCTGTAGCCAAGGGGTTAACAGACCGTGGTTCAAATCTCGTCCCCAGAGGCTTGAAAAACTTGCTGGTGGCATGTGTATGTGTGCCAACATCCTGGCAGGATAGAAAAATGAAGGAGGAGGGATTATAGCGTGACTTTACCCTATCGGGGGGTGCTTTCTCTGTCTCTCTGGTAAAGTACACACACCCTTGTAATTAAAAAAAGTTTTACATTTTTATGGACAGCTAAAAAATCTAGAAATGTTTCGACTTTAGAATGAAATGCTTAAGATTTGGGAGTAAACCAATGAGGGACTAGCAAGAAAGACTGGGATCCACTTCACCAGATTGTTTTTCATATGAGACTCACTCAACCTTTGTTCTTGGCAGGCAGTTAACAAGATCAGAGAGATCGCTGTGACTGTGAAGAAGCAAGATAAAGTGTAAGTTTGCAGGGGCTGGCAGGTGGCTTGCTGGTTACGGGTGCTAGACTCCCATGTGGCCAACTGTGGTTCAAGTCCCAGACCTGGCAGCTTGCTTTCTCACTTGTTCTTTCTCTCTTTCTTTCTCACTCTGTCCCTCTCTGGTCAAATTAAAATAAAAAATAAATAAATAAAGTTAAATGACATAATTCTTAAAAAAAAAAAAAAAAAGTTGTTAAAGGAAAAGTTTTTTTTTTTTTTTTTTTTTTTTTTTTTGTTTTGTTTTTTTTTTTAAGAAAAAAAGTGTAAGCTTATAGTAAGATTTGTCAGAACCTTGACTTCCTGTGGCCAAATTGGATACAGAAGCATGTTGCAATCCCTGTACGGACCTGGGGCTATTTGGCTCTTGCCTGATTCTTGGATGCACCCCAGCCCGCACAGCACAAAAGAGGCTGTCAACTATAGTTGAAAAGCTGTCACATGTGAGATCTCTGACTGCAGTCCCATCTGTCATGATAATCTGCCTAAGGGTACAGAAAGTGAAGTTGGAGAGGGCTGAGTTTAAAGGCTGGAAGGGAACCACCTTCACGTTGTACAGAATCAGGTAACAGGAATTCGATCGGCAGGACCTGATGTAGGTTGCATCCTTGTCCCAGGGAGCAGAGGAAGCTGCTGGAGAAATGTGCCATGACAGCGCTGAGCTCCAAGCTGATCTCCCAACAGAAAGCTTTCTTCGCCAAGATGGTGGTGGATGCCGTGATGATGCTCGATGACTTGCTCCAGCTTAAAATGATTGGAATCAAGAAGGTGCAGGGTGGAGCCCTCGAGGTAAGGCTGCTGTGCCTCCCTGGATGCTTCTGTTTTCACACCGACCCTTCATGCCGCCTCACAGAGAACGAGGCACCACACGGCAGGTGTAGCGAGAGTGCACCTTGGACGTGAAGTCAGACTTGGACTGTGACTGTAGATACATTTTATAACCTCTGTGGGCTTTGTCAGCAGGATGAGAAATTGAACTGGTTGGTTTTCAGGTCTTAGGTTCTTCCTGTCTGTCTGGGGCTTGGAGTGGTAGCTCATGTAAGTCATCCATGGCTCTCCCAATGACCACATCTGAGAGGTGCTGTCATACCGCCCTTTACTCCCAGATGATGTACGTGGTCAAGCTCTCCCTTCTACTCACGTATCTTGAATAGCTGACCCATAGTTCAATCAGTTTAACCAGGCCTAAAGTAAAAGTAAGTGTCCCACACGCCACTGTTACGTGTGTGTGTGTGTGTGTGTGTGTGTGTGTCCTTTCGGAACTATGTTATGTGCGTATATGCATTTATGTAAATTTTTAAGAAACATGCAAATGATGGCTTATATTAAGTGTTGTTTATCTTTTGTCCAATTTATCTTCTGGCAATTGATCCATGTCAGCATGTGCAGCTAAGATCTTACTGCAATTCAGGAGCACTCTATTTGCATTTAAGTAGCAACATGGGGCAGGTGACCACAGTACTGGACAGCACAGCTGTGACTCCTGTAGGCATTTCTGTCTGGGAACGTCTCTTGGTATTGGTGTTTCCATGCTTTTGGCCTTTTCATTCTGGCCTGCCATACTTATTGCTGTGCTCTTTCTTAGTGACCTCAGCCTGAAGCGATTTGGACAGGGGAAGATGCTCGAAATAACATCTGGCCCTGGCCCTGGCCCTTCTCCTCCTCTCCTGGGCCTTCATTGTATAACCCTCAAGATTAGATTGGCATCCACTAAATTTGGGGTCAGTACTGGTATGTGCTCTGATAAAAGCCAGGGACTCAAAGCCACACTTACATTTGCCCAGATTGTCCACATTCATTAAATGCTTGTAAAACTCTTCATGTAAAACCTGACTGGGTATTTACTAAATGATGGTGGTGGTTCTGTACTTCTCTCGGGTTGGCCGAGCACCCCCAGATCTCTCTCTCTTACCCTTTCCTCTCCCCTGCGCCTTGTACTCCTGTGTCTAACTGCTGCTGAACTCAGTATCTCATCCTCCCAGCCTGCAGCATTTTCTGCATTCCTTGTCACAGCTGGTATCATCACCATCATTTTGTCACTCAAACCAGAAATCTTGGAGCGGCCTTGAAAAACTTTGACTCCATACAAACCTGTGGGCCACTGTTGACTCATTTTACCTACTAGTTTACTAATTATTTTTTCTCTTTTACTCATCCTGAGGAACATTTTGACCCTTCCTTCTTCCAGTCTTGTATCCCCTAAATGCATTCTACTTTCTATTGCAGAGTGATGGTCCCCACTCAGTCTCTGCATAAAGCCTTCAGAAATCCCTCAAGATGGGAGCTAGGCCATCGCAGAACCACTCAGAACCTTCTAAGCTAACCCTGCCCACTTCCCCATCCCTCCTCACTGGCTGGTCTCTGCATTCTGCTTTATATCCCAACATCTCAGAATAGCCTTTAATTTCCTGATTGTACAGCACTGTCTCTCACTTCTTGAGAACATCCCTTCGTTTTCTCTATGACTAATTTCTCCTCATCCGTCATCATTCAGCTTGGGCATCACCCCCTTTAGGAGGCTGTGAACTTGAATGATGCTGAAATTGGGAACAGATACTACCTACTGATGTGTATAGCATCTCAGATAGAATTACAGATTAGCACTGGCAGAGCGCCTAAAGGACATTAAGCTGATGACGTTTTTCATGAAGTGGGAGAGCAGTCCGAGCTTGTACCATAGTCTCACGGTAGCGCAGGAGTCAGTCCCAAGTGCAGCATGTGTTAGGCTGTGCCCTGCTGCGATGTCCAGCCTACAGGAAGCTGTCAGGGGCCATGCGGCAGAGGTTTACGTCCCAGAGGCTGGCATGGGAGGAACCACGATGATAGCTTCGGAACTGCGTGGTGTGTTCTGATTCTTCGGACCTTCTGACTTCATCTTCCCGAAAGAGGAAACATCTTGACCATAGCATCTGAGCTGTGGTAGGGTGTGTATGTGTGTGAACAGCAAGGTGGGAGTACACGTAGGCGTGCAGTAGGAGGAGGCTTGAGGGTGAGAAGCTGGGGAGAGAAGTGGGGCGCACGGGACTGCGCCGCCCTGCTCCTCAGCACCTGGAGCCTGTCCTGGTGCTATCGTTTGTAGGTTCTTGCAGCTTTGTCCTTTGGCAAGTGCTTCAGAGGGCAGCCCAGACAGCCCTTTATCATGTTTTTACTCTGCAGAGTGAATTTTTCCTTATATTAAAGGGAAAATTGAAATGTGTTTTGGTGTTTTTTTTTTTTTTGAGAGGTTTTCGCTATAGGGCGCGTGCGCTCGCCAGACAGACAGAGAGAGACATAGAGACAGAAAGCGAGAAATCACCCCCCAGGGGGGGATGGCCACGCTGCAATCCCTTCTCCTCCATTCTCCTCTCGGGATCTTGGGCACGCACGCACACGCGCCCGGCGTGAGATTTAAGCCACCGGGTCCGAGACGCGAACCACGGTCGACTACGTGGGAGTCCAGCGACATAGCCATTACGCTAACTGCTGGTTCCCAAAATCGTGCACTCGCCGAGAGAGACAGAGAGAGAGAGTGAGATGGACTCGATGCCGCAATCCTCCAGCCTCCATAGGTTTTTGCCATAGGGCGGGCGCCACCACGCCCGGTGTTATTTTTTGTGAAAAATTAATTTGTCCCCAAATTTTATGATAATGAGAAGGCTTTGTTACAACAGTGAAGTAAAGACACAGTTCACCTTTTGTCTGGCTCACAGGAATGGACACACAGCCCAGCAAACTACTAGCTTGATCTTATTTTATATTGGCATCTAACCATTAAGCTGGCTTTTCTTTTTTTTTTTTCTTCATTAAACAGGAGTCTCAACTGGTTGCTGGTGTGGCATTCAAGAAGACCTTCTCTTATGCTGGGTTTGAAATGCAGCCCAAAAAGTACAGTAATCCTAAGATTGCCCTTTTAAATGTTGAGCTGGAGCTGAAAGCTGAGAAAGATAATGCTGAAATCAGAGTACACACTGTCGAGGTAGGCCCTACCAGCTGGCCGTGGCTTGGAGATGGCAGCTTTTGGACTAGAGCTTCCTATCTTTGTGGCTGTCTTGCATCTAGCTCTGCTTCTTAGGCTGTGGGCCCCCTTTTCCTGGCATCCCCCTGAATAGTGGTATCTGAACGTTGGGGTCCTGGGGAAGGAATTGGCAAGGCTTCTCCAGCTACACAGTCTCCAGTATTTTAGTCCCCCACTTTTCAGCAGGTGTGGCTCCTCCCCTTCTAGACTGGTCTCGTACTGGCAGGGACAGGTCAGGTGTGTTCCCGTCATTGACATCACGAAGTATACCTCGACAGCAGGGTCTCCAGGTGTGAGCAGCTTTGGAACAGCTCTGTGTCCCCAGCATAAAATGACCTTTGGAGGAGGGTCCTGGTCTGTGGGAACTCCATGGGTATAGCACCTCAGATGGAGCTAGAACTCAGCCAGACCATACTGCTCCTCACACTAGGGCAATGCCAGCCCTACAGGAACTCCCAGACCTGGGGTCACTTTCTGCCTATTTATTTGTCTGTCTGTCTGTCAGAGGGCATATGTACTTACCTGGGAGAGACAAGGAGGGGCAGTGGGGAACAGAAAAGCACTCATGGGGAATGGTCATGCTACAGTACTCTCTCCATCTCTTCCTCCCTCCAGCATTTTGGGCATGCATGCACACACAACCTGTATGGTTTTTCTTTTTTTAGAGAGATTTTTTGCTGTAGGCTGTGTGTGCTCGCTGGAGAGACAGAGAAAGACACAGAGGCAGAAAGCAAGAAATCATCCCTTGGGGGGATGTCCACGCCACAGTCCCTTCTCCATTCTCCTCCTGGGGTCTTGAGCATGCATGCACAGGTGCTCGGTGTGAGTTTGAAGTCACCAGATCCGAGACTCAAACCACGGCCAGCCATGTGGGAGTCCAGCGAGGCAACTGCTATGCAATCTGCTGGTTCCTTTTTTTGGGGGGGTAGGGGGAGAATTTTGCTATAGGATATGTGCACTTGCTAGAGACAGACAGAAAGCGAGAAATCATCCCCAGGGGGATGGCCACACTGCAACCCCTTCTCCATTCTCCTCTTGGGATTATTGGGCATAGATGCACATGTACCCAGCATGAGTTTTAAGTTGCTGGCTCTGGGACTCAAACCGCGCTTGACTACATGAGAGTTCAGCAATATAACCATTATGCCATCCACTGGTCCCCACCCTGTTTTTCAAACCACTGGTTCCAGGACTTAAACTCTGCATTCACCCATCAGGGGTTCAGCTGCCTTCACCACCATGCCACCTGCTGACCCCTTGAAATGGTTTAGATATCTCAGGGTCTTTGTTTGCTTGAACTGAAGAGCGGCTATGCTGTTTGTCCCATTAATTCCTAGATAAATCAGCATGTATTATTTGGGGGTGGAAGGAAAGTATATTTAGCCTATCAGGTATGCCAGTCTTCACCCCAGAGCGTTATCCTTTTCTGGATCTTTTTCAGGATTATCAGGCGATTGTTGATGCTGAATGGAACATTCTCTATGATAAATTAGAGAAGATCCATCATTCAGGAGCCAAAGTTGTCTTGTCCAAACTTCCCATTGGGGACGTGGCTACCCAGTACTTTGCTGACAGGGACATGTTCTGTGCTGGCCGAGTGCCTGAGGAGGATCTGAAGAGGACAATGATGGTAACCCAAGTTTCACAGACCACTTCTTGACCTTGGCCTTGAAGGGTTTTTCCCCTGGTGTAATGAGAGTGTACTGTCAGACTGACTGTGAGTTCAGCCCTATCTTCTTGTAATTCTCGTTGCCAGGAAGTACTCCGTTCCCAGTGTGTGCGTGCGTGCATGCTCAGGGATACCAGCTGCTTTAAAGTTAGGCTACCCCCAAACAAGTTGGGAAGTAAGTCTGGTTTGTGGGGGAGCCTCGTAGTAGTGTTAATGGTTAGCCGGATATGCTCCTCGGGTATTTATGCTTCCAGCCAGATAGATGTCTTCTCTTTCTTCTTGAGCATCTCCCAAAAGATGCTTTTAGCTCTAAAGAGCGGGTCCTAAGTTCACTTGCTGGGCCCACAGCTCCCTGGTTTGGTAAAGGAACATAGGCTGAATTGAAGGACTCCCCATCCTTTCATAGGCCCATTGACCTTTCATGTGTTAGTCTGTTTTGTTTCCTGTTCTCTTTGAGGTGGGTAAGGGGCCCCCTGGAGATCATGGGAAAGGGTGGGTTAGCTAGCACAGGAGGATGTGAGCCACCATGGCAGGGTCCTCTGTGGGGACTGGTTTGAGGTGAGGGGGCAGGAAGCTGGCACGAGCCTCCCTAGAGCCTCATGCAGGTGATGTGCCTTCCTTGACCCCTAGGCCTGTGGAGGCTCGATCCAGACCAGTGTGAACGCTCTGTCAGCAGATGTGCTGGGCAGCTGCCAGGTGTTTGAAGAGACCCAGATTGGAGGCGAAAGGTAAGCCATGGGTCAGGGCTGCCTGTTGACTTAAGCTCAGGAGACCTGTCTGGGTTGGCCTACTGCTGTCTCTGGGTGTGGTACGCTGCTCGGACAGTTGTTGCTTTTCCCCCGTGAGATCTTATTTTTGGAGCATAAAGCATTCAGACACATAGAGTGATAAAGAAGGGAAGAAGATCTAGATGAGTCTGAAGTCTGAATGCAATCTGTTATGCCTTAGGGGTGTTCTCAGACATTCCCTAGAAAATGTCTTTCAGGGTGGGACCAGGCAGCTAGAAGACCTCCAGGGCCGCTGCCGCATGTTGGGAGGACGTGGCATTGAGAACAGAAGGCAGCGAGGTGGCGGCAGAGAGGAGTTCTCTCACGTGTATAATTTGGTCCTGGGTGTAGGTACAACTTCTTCACTGGCTGTCCCAAGGCGAAGACATGCACCTTCATCCTCCGTGGTGGTGCTGAGCAGTTTATGGAGGAGACGGAACGGAGCCTGCACGACGCCATCATGATTGTCAGGAGGGCCATCAAGGTACTGTGCGGTGACCTTGTCTACACAGCCTCCTCTACTTCCCATTTGATCAGACCCTGGATTCGTGTGTTGATTCCTTCCCTTTTTAACGTGTCTTTCCCTGGCGGCCGTGCAAACCGTACCCCACAGATCAGAGGGAAACTGAATCTCCCTTTCTCAAAAATAGATCCTGCTGCTTTAAGGGCTAAGCCTGGCTGTTGTTAGGAAACTGCAGAGCTGATGTGGTCAGCTATCCCATGGTCATGCCAGTGTCCACAAGCAGTAGATGACCTTGAAGATAGTCACATACAGGTCACGGGGTTGAAGTTGGGATGTGCCGGCAGATGTCGTGTCTGGACTTCGCGAGCTTGGGATGGGGGAAGGAATGAGGAGCCATTCCTTTCCGGACTGAGGGACTTAGCGAGTGGCCCAACGTGGAACCTAGACCAGAGGCCTGCTTATACTGAGGTGGTTTGGTTTCTGCAGAACGATTCGGTGGTGGCTGGTGGCGGAGCTATTGAGATGGAGCTCTCCAAGTACCTGCGGGATTATTCAAGGACTATCCCAGGGAAACAGCAGCTGCTGATTGGGGCATATGCCAAGGCCTTGGAGATCATCCCGCGCCAGCTGTGCGACAATGCTGGCTTTGATGCCACAAACATCCTCAACAAGCTGCGGGCTCGGCATGCCCAGGTGAGTCCTTCCTCCTCCAGGTCAGGGTTGGGCGGGTGGGCTAGATTCTGAGTGTACTGTGCTTCAAGCTGCGCACGCTCATTCCAGGTGATAGAGTGGAATGCAACCCAGTCCCAGCTGGGTAACTGCCTCCTAAGGGTACAGGGAAAGCCACAGTGTCAAGACTAGAGAG